AATTTTTGGACAGTATTTCAACTTTTGTTTATGTAATGGTCAATTTTTTTTATTACTCAGCTTTTTTTATTATGCATAAAAGCGCCCTTTTTTGTTTTACATTATTTATTGTTGCGTGTTTTTGCTTTGTTTGGTTGCTGGGATCTTGTTAAGGATTTAATACTGACACCGAAAGACATAATGTTGCAGTGTTATTTGTGAAAATCTTTTGAGCTGGTTAAAATAAAATGTTTTAAAATTAAAACTAAAAGTGTATTAGTGTATATCAGTGCATTTTTATGCAATCTATTGTTTTTAAAGATAATTCAAACATATTGTGATATATCATGTATCGCGATATAGCCCAAATATATTGTGATATTAGATTTTCTTCATATCACCCACTCCTATTTATAAGTGATTAAAAATAAATTTAAGAACATAGTAAAAAGGAGAAGAGACAGTTTAGGCTTTCACTAAATATGTTTAAGGAGAAAAGTGGGTGAGGATTTTAGCTCAATTGTAACCTGCTCACCTTTTTATCTGTTACTGTCCACTGGCCATCCTCCCTTTGCTTGAAGGAACAATGCAGTCTGGAGATCATGAGAGGGCACGTTGGAGATATCAGCTGATGGGTCACCTCCACACCACGTCCAATAGTGATCTAAACAGTCAAAAATAAACATGAAACTTACGTTTTCCTCTGCTGCGCTCCATGCAAAATACTAATGATAATATATATGGGTTACGTCATTCTCAATATCTGACAAGATCCCAATAAACATAAAAAAAAAATTAAGTAAGAGCTGAAATGCGTGATCAGAGCGCTTAAAATTTCTTGAAATTCGCACAGTCCTTAAAGTTTTGCCTGTTAGCAAACGTTAGCCAAACTGCACCTCTGTGTTTTCGGACAAACTGAGCCAGTCCGAGTTTTTTCCGACTCTCATCAGACATGAAACCTCCGACTCGGAACAGTCGTCCTCCTCAGACGAAAAACAGACCGTCGTTAAGCTATCCATGTTTTCGCATTTCTGCCTAAAGGCCACTTCGACCTAAACACCCCTCCAAACGTTACGGTTCTCCTTCATACCGCAGCTACTGGAGATGTAGCCATGAAAGGCTACCTACAAACCGGAAGACGACGAGTTCCTTTCTAAATAAAAGCCTTCTACTACTTCTTTTTCTTCTTTGTTAGATTGGCGGATTGCAAACAGCTCATAGGTGCATACCGCCACCTACTGTACTGTCTGTAGCTCTGTAGTTCCACCTACTATATTCTATTTTTTTTATTTTTGTGTTATGTAAAAACAAAAATAAATAAAAAAAATGTTTATTAATAACCAAATTTTCCACCCAATCCCCATCTGTCCCTAAAATTCGTTTAACAGTCCATTCTGTCAGTTCTAGTTCCCTGACCATTATTAAGGGACACCAGAGACCTTTCATCCATCATTTCTTCCACTATTTTACCATTATTGTCCATCTGTCTGCTTCCCCATAGACTATTATGTGCATTGGAGTCACCACACCTAACTTCTCTTCTTTTAATTGATCCTGAAATTGTATTAAATATCTCACTTTCTAACGTTTTAATATTTAAGAATCCTAATATTACCAATTTTTCCTGATTTAAATATTTCTACACTTACACATTCATATTAACCAGGTACCTGATGTTCTTTATATGCCAATCCATCCTTAATGAAAGTTGCACAACCTCCTCAACTACTATTGTAACTCTTATCTCTTCTGACTGAATTGTAACCGGGAATTTTAAAATCTAAAGATGGTTTTAACCAAGTTTCCTAAACACATACACAACAAACACAACATCCGGAGCTGTTTATAGTTCATGTACACACAGACACACACACACACACACATATATATATATATATATATATATATATATATATATATATATATATATATATATATATATATATATATATATATATATA